CTTAAACTGTTTAACAATTTTTTTTCAAACACACATTTTCAAAGAACATGAGTAATTGAGACAACTGCCTCAAAATATTCCTGGTAACACAATGTTTGCCCATTGACACAAAGATGTTGAGGTACATAAAAGATGTGTAAATAAATGATTGCAATACTTCATCAAGCACTTGATACATTTATAGTAACAATAAGTACTGTGAAGCTAGAATAAAAATTGCAATGTTACAAATGTTGCAAACAAATCTGAACTATTCTCTAATATCTTTCTTCCATTTGTTTTCCTTTTTTAGCATTTATTTAGCATGTATGTACTTTCAATGCTGTGCCTGTGGAGATCAGAGTTAAATTTGTAAGAGATAGTGCTCTCCTTCCACCATGCCATTCTGCGGATTAAACTCAGGTGTGAACTCAGTCTTGGTGGCAGGAGCTATCTTGAGATCCTCCCCTCACCCTACAACACACTTTTTGTTTTAAACCAGATCATACTAGGTAGCTCAGACTGGCCTGAAACTTCTAGCTTCAAGTAATCTTTCTGCCTCTACCACCTGACTGACTAGAAACATAAGTGAATGAGAATGAGAGTGAGAGAGAGAAAGAGAGAGACACACATTAAGAGAGAAAGAGAGACAGAGAGAGAGAGAGAGAGCGCAAGAACTCACAAGTGAGGAGGATATTCAGAAACTGAAATTAGCTAAGTTTGGAGGCAACATTTCTCAGTAAACCTTGAGCTCACCATTTTGCCTAGACCAACTTGCCAAAAAACCTTCAGAATCTGTCTCCAATCCCTCACCCCTACTCACCCTCACCCTAGGATTACAGACATTTGTGGTCATGCCTGGCTTTTACATGGGTGTTGAGGATCTGATCTCAGGTCCTCGCCTTGCACAGCAAGTACTTTACTCACTAACCCATCTTCCTAACCCCTAACAATCTTGTATGTGTGCATGCACACAACTGCCACATGGCACAAATACAGGTCAGGAGACAATCTGTGTAAACAGGTTCTCTCCTTCCACCATCTGAATCCCCAAAAATGGAACTCAGGATATCAGGCATGGAAGCAAATGTCTCTACTAGCTAAGCCATCTATTTAGGAGAAAGCATTAAGCCACATGCAAATGGCATGTGTGGAGGTGATATCAACTGTCAAGATTTAATTCTCTTTCTGTTATGTGAGTATCAAGATCATCAGACATAGCAGTAAGCACCTTTACCTGCTGGGTCACCTCGCTGGCCATCAAAAACTGTACATTTATTTTTAAAAAGAATGTTATTGTCTTGACCTTTCAGTAACTACATTCTTTTTAAAAATTATTATATTTATTTTTGTGTGGTGGGAGGGGAAGGAGACAAAGGTACTTGTGAAGGTCAGAATCAAATATATCCACAATATGGATACTGGAGATCCAACTCACGCAAACACCTTTACCCACTGAGCTACCTACAGGTTTCCTCTACAACCTTTTAAAAACATTAAGTAGTAAATAAAAAACAAAATATTAAGTACTGTTTATTTTTAAAGTTTGAAAGAAAAAGGGCAGCAGTTATTTGCTGCTGTAATCTTTTTTTTTTTTTTTTTTTTTTTTTTGAGACAGGGTCTCCCTGTAGCCCCAGCTGTCCTGGAACTCACAATGTAGACCAGGCTGGTCTTGAACTCACAAACATCTGCCTGCCTCCCAAGTGCTGCGATTAAAGGCGTGCGCCACCACACCCGGCGAGATTAATTTTTTTTAAATTTTATTTATTTTATGTGTATGTGTGTATTGCCTGCATGCAGGTAAGTGCATCCGTGTCCTACACCCATGTTGTGCAATGCCCTCAGGGGTCAGAAGAGGCTGTTGGATCCCCTGGGACTGGAGTTACAGACAGCTATCAGCTGCCATGTGGATGCTGGGATTCAAACCCAGGTCTTCTGCAAGAACAACCAGTGTTCTTAACCGCTGACCCATCTCTCCAGCCCCAATCAGATTACTTTTATAAAGACATAATTTTATTTTATGTGAAGATGTCAGTACCTGTATGTATATATGTGTACCACATGTATGTCTGCTTCCCAGGAAGATGAGGAGAGGGCTTTGGATCCTCTAGAGCTGGAATTACAGATATTTGTGAGCCATCATGTAGATGCTGAGAACCAAACTCAGGAGCCATCTCTCCAACACCTAATCAGATTAATTTTATTATGTGGCTTCAAGTAAACAAAATCTATGTTTCCTACAACTTGAAAAGATGGAATTTAAATGTTTAATTTTAAGAAACTAGTAAATAATCTAGTGAAACAGTAAATTTAGTAAAATAATCTTGTGAAACAATACATGATCCACTTTATAAATATCAATGAAACCAGCCTGAGTATTCTTAAATGTCTAATTAATCCATTTCCAAAGATTAGTAAGATTGTTGTAAACTTTACCCAACATTTAAATAATTTCTGAAATGAAAATGATTTTGTATTGAGAATGGGGCGACCAAAAAGACAGCTCAGCAGTTTATGGCATCTGCTGCTCTTGTAAAAGATCTGAGTTCAATTCCCAGCACCTACACCCTCAGCTCACAGCGACTTAAAACACCATCCGCGGGAGATCCTACACCTTATTTTAGCTTCCAAGAACACCTACACATGTGGGGCATGCTCTCCTACACACATACACACATAAATAAAGTCTTTTCATCTTCTGCATAGTCTTACTACACACCTCTGGCTGGCCCTGAAGTCACAGAGATCCACCTGCTTCTACCTCCCAAGTGCTAGGATTAAAGTGTGTGTATTTATGACTGTAAGAATGTAGACATGAATGTAGTGCCCACAGTGATAGGAAATCATCTCTAGTCATATAGCAAGTGCTACCCTACCACATCTCTCCAGCCGGTCAGTGGCAATTTCTTTAAAAAATGCATCATGTATGCTTTATATGATTATTATTTGATGATTAAAAACATTAGTTGTAAAGCGGGACCTGTGGTAGAGCATGGTAGCATACACCTTTAATCCCAGTACTTGAGAGGCAGAGTCAGGCAGATAGTTTGAAGTCAGCTTGGTCTACAGAGTGAGTTCTAGGACAGCTGGGACTTACAAGGAAACCCTGTCTCAAAAAGACCAACAAAACAAAACAAAAAAAAGCCAAGCATGGGGGCGCACACCTTTAATCCCAGCACGCAGGAAGCAGAGGCAGAGGCAGGTGATCTCTGTGAGTTCAAGGCCAGCCTAGTCTACATAGTGAGTTCCAGTCCAGCTAGGGCTTCAGGAAGACCTGTCTCAAAAAGACCGAAAAAAACAATTTAAAAAAAAAAATCATTAAGTGGTTAGTACCCAAGGAGGAAACAGAACTGAAAAATAAAGCTAGATATTATAAACAAAAATTCAAAAACCTTAAAAGACTGACTCAGATAATTTGGTAATAGAACGTACGAACTAAATTAAATCTTTAGTATTATACAGAAATTATTTTTCTAACTGAATTGAAATGCCACATTTTCATCCATAGAATATTTAGTTGATAGTAAGATAAACAATGCTTGTTGCTACAAGATTTGTTTTACTATGTGTTTGTTCTATTAAAAAAAAAGATAAATGAGCCAGGCATGGGACTATAGGGAGACCGTGTCTCAAAAAGACCAAAAATAAATAAATAAATTAAACGTTCTCAAATACAAAAATGAAGACAGAAAGCTCAATGACTTCAATATAACCTCAGACACATTTTTTTTATCTTTTTGTGACAGGGTCTCCCTGTAGCCCTAGATGGCCTGGAACACACTATATAGACCAGTCTGGCCTTGAACTCAGACATCTGCCTGGCTCTGCCTCCCAGGTTGCTGGGATTAAAGGCGTGTGCCACCAAACCCAGCCAGAAACAACAGAAGAAAAAAATAGTAAATATTTTTTCAGAATAAAGAGTAAAGCTAGAATTCTTTCAAATGAAAAATGAAATTCTTGGTTATCACTAAGATAACCCACCATCCTGCCCCACAAAACCAAAAATATGAGCCGAGATAGCTCTGTGAATAGAGATACTTGCTGTGTAAGCCTGATGACTTGACTTCAATCCTGGAACCCACATACAGGTATAAAAAGAGAATTTAGGACCTGGAGTGATGGCTCAGCAGTTGAGAACACTAACTGTTCTTGCAGAAGACCTGGGTTCGAATCCCAGCACCCATGTTGTCTTCTATCTATACACACAAAACATGGCACCACACACACACACACAAATACACACATACAACCCTAATAATAATTTTTAAAAAAGATTTAAATCTAAATAAGTTAGAAGTCTTTTAAACTAATGCTAGGTGGAAGGAAATTCAGGAGCAAAAGAATATGTTGAACACCCTGCCACTAGTAAAATCCTGTAGATGAAATTCTCTAGTCTATCAATTGGCATGCTATGTGAAGTAGAAGGAAAGGAAAGAAGGACAGAAAAACGAAGGGAGGGAGGAGAAAGGAGATAAGAAAGGAGGGAGCAACAGAGTAAACTGAACATAAGCCGACAGTAAAAAGCCATTTTATAAGATCTGTGTAAATGTGGCCTTTAAATAGCTAATATATTGATATCAAACAAAACTGAATGAAGTTTCAAATAAAAGTTCAGAAGAGAAAACAAATATACTTGAAGATGAAAGAGCTCAGCTGTATGCTCAGAGGTGTTATGTTAGATGGTGAGTACATACTATATATACCTGGAACTTTCAAACTGAAGACTTGTAACAGTATGTTACAAAAGCTAGTCAGGTAAAGACGATGTATGTATTATGTTTCTCATTTAACAACATATATTTTTAAACCATCAATTCAAAGAGAGGAATTATAACAGCCATTTCATAAAATGAGTATTCTTTTTAGAGACTAATATACTACTTGTAAGACATTAAGACAATCACTAGTTTAACAACCATGAAAAATTCAGAAATTAAAAACAAAAGTCTGTAAGATTCTAAATTCATACTGTACAATAAATAAAATATAACTTCACTTTGGTTAACTATCATTTTACTTACATTTTCCATATAGTTTGGTTTAAAGCCCTCCTGCTGTCGCCTCAATTCTTCCTGCTCTCTGTGTCGGATCATTTCTTCCTCACGACGACGATGTTCCTCTTCATGTCTGAAATTTTTTAAAATAAAATTTTCAGCACTATGACATTTGAGCCTCTACTGCTTTCTTTGACATAAAACAATTTATAAGAATTACATTATACATGACAAATCTATGACTAAGAATGGACTATAGTGTCCTAGATTCACAACCAAAAGATAGTCACAACATTTATGTTTATATCAAAGAAATCCAGCCAGTTTGGTGGCACATGCCTATAATCTAATCAATGGAGAATCTGAGATAGTAGATCACAGGTATTAAGTCCAGCCTGAGCTACCTAAACCCAGGAGAACTTTTCTCAAAGAAATCAAGTGCTGGAGATAAGCTCAGCAGTAGAACACTTGCCTAGCATGTGCATAGCCTGGTTCAATCCTGAGCACTAGAGGGAGAGAGAAAAACAAGAGGGTAAAGTCCAGTATCCATTACTTGCATAGCAGAGTTCACAAAGATACTCAAAGCCTAAGCAAAGATGGGAAAAAGTGATCAGTGGGAATGAGAGGGGGACAAGAAAAGTGTGATAGGGGATGAGTATGATTTAAATACATTACATATATGTATGAAGATGTAATAATGAATTCTATTATAAATAAATAAATAACATATGCTAATAAAAATTTTAGCTTGCCTTTTTTTTTTTTTAAAGACAGGGTCTCACTATGCAGCCCTGGCTGGCCTGGAACTTGCTATGTATACCAGGCTGGCCTGAAAGAGAGTTTCTTCTACTTCCCTAGTACTGAGATTAAAGGAGTGTGCCACTATATCCAGCTATTAAAAACTTTAAAAAAGAATTTTAAAGTACATTACTATAAACCAACTACAAAAAATTGATTTATGTGTGGTAATCATTATAAATCCCTCCTTCTCTTATGTTTGTTAACCAATAAGGAAACACACTGGAGAGTCAATACACAACTTGCTTTTATAAGTCAGTCATTTATTGTCTATGACTACTCAAGGGCCAGAATAGGTGAAACAGACATCAAAAGACCTAACACATAAACAATTTTTTATTTTCAAAACACATTTATTGACCCTGACCAAGAGTAAAACCTATGTATATAATAACATTAAGACCTTAACATATAATATGATCAAGTCAGGAAACATACTAAAACTCAAATAACACTCTTACATGATACTGGCATTAAATCAATTAAAATTCAAATGTTTGTGTCACAGACGCACATAGTAAGTAAATCAACAGTGAAGGATGCATAATGCTGGTGCTCCTATAGTAGCCTCAATTTCTCAAATTTCAAGATCTTATTGTGTAGAACTTTATCCCCAAAATACATTTCCACTAAAGTTGTTCTTTCATAGCCAGAGGGAAAACTCAGGACTTCACGGAAAGCATAGTAAAATGCAAAATTCCTAAGAAATTTCAAGTAAATCTGAGCTTTTTTTTTCTCCCCAGATGGAGTTAACTGTTCAAACTGCTAATGCTTTAGAATAACTTAAGAACAAAAAATAAAAATGAAAGCAACAAAACAAAAAATAAGTTAGGTATAATCCTAGCACTCCATAGTAGACAGAGTAAGGAGGATCAAGAGCTTGAGAACACAAGCATGGTGGTGCACATGCCCAGTAGAGGCAGGCCAATCTGAGATTGAGGTCAGCCTGGTCTTTTGATGAGCAAATTTATGAGCAGATTTTGAGACCCAAGTTTCTCATTGTTGCAGGGGAAAAAAAAAAGAGAGAGAGAGAGAGAGACAAAATGAATGTTGTGGTAGTGCATTAGAATCAGTTATTATTTGGGGCTGGAGAGATGGCTCAGCAATTAAGAGCACTGACTTCTCTTGTAGAGGACCCAGTTCAGTTCCCAGCACCCATATGGTGGTTAATAGCAGTCCAACTCCAGGGAATCAGATGCCCTCTTCTGACCTGTGTAGCATTGCATGACACAGGTATACTTACTTACATGCAAGCAATACTCATACACATAAAACAAAAATAATGAATTAAATAATTTAAAGACATATGTACCACCACAACCAGTTAGTTAATAAGGGAATTTTTAAGTGGGGCATAGTGGCTGATGCAGTATTCTGAGGACCTGAAGGCAAGAAGATCATCAGTTTGGTTAGCCTCGCTCACTCAGATTCTGTTTCAAAAACAAAACAGAAAAGAAATGAATTCTTATACCCAACTTTAAGTTTTGTACAGTATATGAATGTGCAATTTTTTGTGGGGGGTGGTTTATATGTGAAAGTATTGGTGCATTCAAGTCAGTGTTGGTGTATTCATATCATTTGTCTTTCATCTTTTTTTGAGATAGGGTCTTTTTTTTTTAATTAAAAAAAAACTTTATTGAGAATTTCATACATGCATATAAAGTGTTTTGATCAAATCCACACCCACTCCCTCCCCAATCTTTTAGTTTTTTAAATAATTGTTCAGCACTGTGCATTCCAGTTAGCTGGTCACCTAGCTTCTTGTGATTCTCCTGCCTCTCATCTCACCTGCAGGAGCAGCTCCTGGATTCAGACACAGGTACCCGGGCTTTACAAGGGTTCTGGAGATTTGAAATTTTAGGTCTTTGTGTTTGCACAGCAAACTCTTTACCAGCTGTCCTAGCTTGTTTCTTCTGACCAGTACCAACTTGGAGGAAAGGGTTTATTTGTCTTACATCTCCCAGGTCGCAGTTCATCAGGGAGCCCAAGGTAGGAACTCGGCAGGAACCTGGAGGCAGGAGGTGGAGCACAGGCCATGGAGGAACACTGCTTACTGTCTTGCTCCCTTGGCCCCTGCTCAGCCTGCTTTCTTATGCAACACAGGCCCACCTGCCCAGGGGTGGCACCACCCACAGTGGGCTGGGCCCTCCCACATCACACATCAAGAAGATGCCCTTCACACTTGGCCACAGGCCAGTCCAATAGAGGCAATTCCCCGATTGAGGCTCCCTCAACTCAGGTGTGTCAAGTTGACACTAAAGCTATCCAGCACACCAGCTGAGCCTTCTCCCCAGCCTCAAAGTAATTCTTTAATAGTAAAAACTTAGCAGTATTTTATTAATGTCTGGGAAAGAAATTAACCCATATGTCTTTGTTACTATAGTTTGCTCTTGATCCAGCCTGGCCTTGAATGAGTTAAGTAGTGTTAAGTAGCCCATGCTGCTCTCAAACTCTTTTCTTTCTTTCTTTCTTTCTTTCTTTCTTTCTTTCTTTCTTTCTTTCTTTCTTTCTTTCTTTTTCTTTCTTCTTGTCTTTTTGAGATAGGGTCTCCCTGTAGCTCTAGCTGGCCTGGATTCGCTATGTAGACCAGGCTGGCCTCCAACTCAGAGATCCATCCGCCTGCCTCTACCTCCCTAGTGCTGGGATTAAAGGCATGCACCACCACGCTTGGCCTTTTCTTTCTTTCTCCTTCCATTCCTTCCCTTTCTTCCCTTTCTCCCCTTTCCCCTTCCCTTCCCTTTCCTTCTCTCCCTCCCTCCCTTCCTTTTTTGATACAGGGTCTCCATGTAGTACCAGCTGGCCTAGAACTGACTATGGAGACCAGGAAGGCCTTGATGTCACAGTCTCTTGCCTCTGCCTCCCAAGTTCTGGGATTAAAGGCATGTACCACCATGCCAGGCTCAAACTCATAAAGACAAGGTCTCCCTGTAACCCCAGCATCCCTGACACTTGCTAATTCTGGGGATGGGGGTTAATACCTAAAATTCCTGTACTTGAGAGCCTGAGGCAGAAAAATTTCAAGTTGAAGACAGCCTGTGCCATGAAAATCTATACACAAACACATACACACATACAAAATAGATACAGAAAGTGCTAATCTATACCCTAACTGTGTACATATGATTTGTCAGGTCACCAGCCAAGATACAATTTTCTAAAATTCCATGCTTACATGTATCTACAATCCCTGTACTCAAAAGGTTCGAAGTAGGAAGATCAGATGTTCAGCTCATTCTCAGCTCCACAGCAAGTTCAAGGACAGCTATATAAGAATGTTTTTAGAAACAAAAAACAACAAAAGTTTTTAAAGAAAAAAACCTGTCTACTCTTAATTTGGCTAACATTCTCCTAAAGCCACTTGCATTTTCTTTGTGTTAAATGGTCTTTATTTTTTAAAGGAGTTTGAGGTTCCCAAGAAAACTGAGTGGAAGACAATGTGTTCCAAAGTACTTCCTGCCCCACCCCACACACAATGACAACCACCTACTGTCAACATGTCCCCAAAGTGGCACAATGGTTAAAATACAAGAATCCACAATGAAACATCATTATCACCCAGGATCCAACGTTTTATGTTATGGTTCAGTCTTGGTGTGCATTCTGACACATGTATAATACCAGGTGTCTACCATCACATGTAAAGCAGTTTTACTCCCTAAAACCTCTATTTTCCAGGGCTGGAGAGATGATTCAGTGGTTAAGAGCACTTGCTGCTCTTGCACAGGATCTGGGTTCATTTTCCATCACCCACATAGCAGTTTACATCTGATGTCCTCTTGTGGCTTCCAAGGGCATGAGGCACACATGGTATACAAACATAAATGCAGACACCCAAACAAGAACAAATAAATCTTCAATCTAAAACTATTTCCCATACCTTCACGCCTACCTTCCTGAACAAACCTCTTGCAAGTACTAACCTTTCACTGTGTCCCTAATTTGCCCTTTCCACAGTAATTGGTGTCATAAAATATCTGCCCTTTCAAACTGTTTTCTTTCATTTAGCAACAGGCTCATAAATTTCCTTCCATGTCTTTCTCTGGCTTAATGACTCATTCCTCTATAGGAAAACTAATATTCTATTGTCTACAAACCACAACTTCTTCAAGTTCATTCATTTTCAAGGCATACCTCAACCATGTAATAGTATGAGAGCAGCCTGGGCTATATGAGACCTTGTCACAAAAAAAGGGGGTAGGAGAAGTGGCTCAGTGGTTAAAAGCACAGGTTGTTCTGCTCTTGCAGAGGAACTGGGTTTGGTTCCCAGCACCCATATGGCTGCTAACAACTGTCTCTAACTACAGTTCCAAAGGTTTCAATACTTTCTTCTGACCTCTGTAGGCACTGAACAGCATGGGTGCACTTACATACAGGTAGGCAAGACACACACACACACAAAAATAAATAAATAAATAAATAAATAAAAACTTCAACAACAACAACAACAACAACAACAAAAAAAACCTAACCAAACATTTAGATTCTCCATCACTTTTCAGTGTTATACTACTCATTTCTTCTAACAGGTCCATTTGTAGTATTTAGATAGCAATGTGGGTCTTCATACCATTTGATTTTATTTGTTTTTACTTTGGTTGTTTCTTTTTTGAGATTTAAGACTGTGAATGATATAGGACTTATGGCCAAAAGTCTAGTTGTCAAGATGAAATTAAAAACTGGGAGCCAGGTACTGTGGCATACATCCTTAATCCCAGCACCCAGGAGGCAGAGGCAGGCAGATCTCTGTGAAATCGAGGCCAGCCTGGTTTACATAACGAGTTCCAGGTCAGCTGGGGCTACAGGGAGACCCTGTCTCAAAAAGACAAATAAGTAAATAAATAGAAAGCTGGGATCAGATAAGGTTTTACCTTAGGAGTCATCTTTTCTTTTTCTAAGTATAAAAGATTTGAACATGTTTACATAAAAAGGGAAGAAGAAAAAAGCAGCAGTAATGTATTCCTTAAGAGGGAATGTATCAAATAGTACTCGACTATTTGATACATTAAAATTATCTAGAACACTGTAGATAAAAGACTGGCCAGGAACTTGCAAGTCTCTCCCTTCGGTAGTACAATTATGTGCCATCATGCTCATGTACTTATTATTTTTATAGAGATATACTTTCAAAACAAAAATTTCAATTTTGTATCATCATAGCTTTGTTCATAACATTAGCTTATGATTTTTGAAAACTTTGAAAAGTGAATGATTATAAATGTCCATAATCTGTGATGGAGATATAGCTGGTAAAATGTCTCCCTAACTTGCATGATGCCCCAAGTTTGATTCCTAGTACTTTACAAGCTGGGCATGGTGGTACATATGTATAATTCTAGCACTTAGAAAAGTTAAGGCTGGAGGATGACACTTTGAGGTCAATCTGGTATGTATTAAGAGTTTCAAGACAACCCAGACCACATAGCTTGTTCTGTCTCAAAACCAAAGGAAACAAAATAGTAATCCAGATGTATCCATCTCTGGAAAAATGGTATGGCAAATCACTGAGCACTCTGATAACACATGCAATATTTAACTTCAAAGTGTATACAACCAAGGCACCCTTAAAGAGCTACAAAATAATAACAAATAATTATACTATATAGTAATCACCTATGCATGGACAAAAAGGAGTTTTCATTTTTTCAGTATTTTTCAACTTTCACAACTTGTTTGTAATGAAAGATAGGGAATTTTCCTAATACAACAAATTAAACACACATTTTTGTTAACAATGAAGTTCTTTTACCTCAGTTGTATTTGTTTCCGTTTTTGCAACTCTTGGTTTCTGAGTTCTTCCAATCGTCTGAGTTCTTCTTGACGTCTCATTAGATCTATAAAATATTGACAGCACATTAGTATTTTTACCTCCCTTTTATGTACTTTTAGATCCAAAAACGAAGAGAGACTCTGTTATTGGCATATGCAAGAATCAAGGAATATTGGTTTTACTGCTGTTTGGTTTTTGTTTTTGTTTTCTTGAGCTACGATCTCACTATGTAGCCCTGGCTGGCATAAAACTCACTATGTAAACAATGCTGGCCTTGAATTCAGAGTTCCATCTGCCTCTGCCTTCTTAGTTTTTTGAGATGGAGTTACACTGTAGTATAAGCTATATTTCACTATGTAGCAAAGTGACCTTAAACTCACAGCAATCAACATGTCTCAGCTTCCTCTGAAGCTTTGTTCCTCGGAAGCTTCCTTTTTATTTTGAGACAGTGTTTTGGTATATTATATAACAGGTTGGCCTCAAACTTGTGATCTTCCTGCCTCACTCTCTGGGCTAATAGGAATGCATAGCACATGTGGCTTCTATGCCGCTTCTAAAGAAATCAATAGAGAATAAACATCAGATAATCAAATGATGAACATAAAGTCACCCCTGCACCTATTAAAAATGTGGTTACGGGGCTGGAGATAGGGCTCAGCGGTTAAGAGCACTGACTGCTCTTGCATAGAACCCGGGTTCAATTCCCAACACCCACATGGTGTCTATGAACCATCCTTAACTCCAGTTCCAGGGGAATCTGATGCCCCCTTCTGACCTCCTTCCGTGGCATGACACAGTGTACTCACAAACATGCAGGCAATATGCTCATATACATAAAATAAAAATAGTATTTTTAAAAATGTGGTTAAGACTTCTATACATAGATTAATTCAAGAATATTAAGTCAATGTCATAAAAATCCACACAAATTAGAACCAAAATAACAAAAACTGACAGAGTAGATGTGCACCTACTAGCATCAGCTCTTCTGTGCTTGATCCAACAAGGGAAAGCAAGGGGGTGGGGAACAGATGAGCTAAATGGGACAATTTCCTAGGTCTTTTTTCTTTGGCAGTCAGGAATGATCCTTAAAGAACATATACTTCACACTGGCCACTTTTGTAGAGGACCCGTCTTCAGTTCCCAGCACTCACAACACAGCTAATAACCATCCTTAATTCTAGTTCTAGGGGGCTCTGATGCCCTCTTTTGGCCTCTCAGGGCATTGCACAATACAACTGCACTTCCATACATGTATGAAAATAATATTTTTAAAGTGTGCAGTATCACACCAGGTACTACAGTCTCATCAAAAGTGTATCAGTTGCATTCCACAGCTGGTCTGGAGCTATTCTTATGGAAACAGCTGTGGCATTCCAACTGTTACACAATTAAAACAAGTGCTTCTTTCTCTAGCTGCTAACAGGAAACAGGCATACACATGACAGATGTTAAGGTCTGACCCTAAGTGAAAATATGTAGTTCCGTATTTATATTAAACATTTTAATCAGTTACAGTAACAAAGGTAACCCAAAATAACCATGAAACCAGGTAGGTTGGTGAACACTAATGATCCTCGCATGTAAGAGGCTACAGTAAGATTATAGGTTCAAGGCCAACTTAGGCTACACAGTTGAGTTCTGGTCTATTTAGGGTTAAAAAATGATACACTACCTCTAAAACATACATAGCCATAAAAAAAATCTAGAGCTGGGCGTGGTAGCTCACGTCTTTAATCCCAGCACTTTGGAGGCAGAGCCAAGAAGATCTTGTGAGTTCAAGACCAGCCTGGTCTATATAGTGAGTTCCAGGCCAGCTGGGGCTACAGGGAGAACCTGTCTCAGTAAGACCAAAAACAACAACAACAAAACCCAGAAAGGTTATCCTACAGCCCAGGCTAACTTCAAAGTCATTATAGAGTAGATCATGACCTTGAATTCCTGATCCTCCTACTTCCAAATTATTCAGTGTTAAAAACACAGGCATGTGTAAGGACACATATTGGCCATAGTAAACATTTTAGTGTGCCAGGCATAGTGGTGCACATTTTTCTTCCAGCATTTGAGGAAAGGATCAGCAGTTCAAGGTTATCTTCCACTAACTATACAGAAAATATAGAGTAGATCATGACCTTGAATTCCTGATCCTCCTACTTCCAAATTATTCAGTGTTAAAAACACAGGCATGTGTAAGGACACATATTGGCCATAGTAAACATTTTAGTGTGCCAGGCATAGTGGTGCACATTTTTCTTCCAGCATTTGAGGAAAGGATCAGCAGTTCAAGGTTATCTTCCACTAACTATACAGAAAAAATTGGGGTTTGGGCTGAGACCCTGTCTCAAAAAAAAAAAAAAAAATTAAAACAACAAAAAAGCAGGTGTTATAGTGAGCCACAGTTGCCAACTTAACACAAAAAGCTGAGGGGGAATGTCACTGAAGTATTTCCCAGATCAAACTGCCCTGTGGCCAAATCTTTGAGGCATTTTCTTTTTCTAAAAAAATACTTTATTATTTTTATGTGTATGTGTATTGCCTACATGTATGTAAGTGCACCTGTGCCCTGCAATGCTCATGGACATCAGAAGAGGGCATCGGATCCCTGGAACTGGAGTTAAGGACGGTTATGTGGGTGCTATGAATTGAACCTGTGTCCTCTGCAAAAGCAGTCAATGGTTTTAATCCCTGAGCCATCTCTCCAGCCCACTGAGGCATTTTCTTAATTGCTACCTGAAACAGGAGGCCCCAGACCACTGTACATTGGTTATGCCATCCCTAGGTAGTTGGGTCACTGAGGGGCTTGAGAGAGAGCTAGTCCACAGACAGGGAGTTCAGTCCCCAGAACCCAAACAGGCTCACAATGCCTGTAACTCCAGTTCCATACTCACAGGCACAAGCCTCCCCACACATAATTAAAAATAAAAATAAAATTAATCTGGCCAGGCGTGGTGGCACACGCCTTTAATCCCAGCACTAGGGAGGCAGAGGCAAGAGGATCTCTGTGAGTTCAAGGCCAGCCTGGTCTACATAGTGAGTTCCAGGACAGCTGGGGCTACAGGGAGACCCTGTCTCAAAAAAGACCAAAAACAAATAAATAAAATTAATCTTTTAAAAAATAATTAAAGTAGCATTCCTGTGGTTTCTGCCTCAACTTCCTGTCTTGAATTCCCTTAAGTATAACCTGTAAGTGAAATAAACCTTTTCCTCCCCAAGTTGCTTTTGGTTATTTCAACACAGTAACAGGAAACAAAGAAGAACAGTGAGTATGGTGATACACTTAATGACTACATTTGGGAGGTAGAGATAGGATTAGGAGATCAAGGTCAACCTAGGCTGCAAGAGACTGTGTCAAAAAAAGAAAATCTGTAATAGAAAATGGAGAAGCGAACAAATTTAAAAGTAGAAAAAAAGAAATCCAGAAAAAAAGGAAAAGGGAAGCTTCTCAGATGTATTTAAGCAGCTCATCTTACTGTAAGGTATGTGAATACTAGATGAGAATAAATTATTAAGACTGCCCTAAAAGGGGGAGATGGAGAGATGGCTCAGCAGTTAAGAGTACTAGCTGCTCTTGCAGAAGACCCAGGTTCAATTCCCAGCATCCACAGCGTGGCTAACCACCATCTGTAACTCCAGTTCTGGGGATCCAAAACCATATTCTGACGTCCAAGGGCACTGCACAACATGGGTGCACTTACATTCATAGAGGCAATACACTTATACACATGAAATTTAAAAAAAAAATTTTTTTTTTTTTTTTTGTCTTTTTTGAGACAGGGTCTTCTTGTAGCCCCAGCTGTCCTGGAACTCACTATGTAGACCAGGCTGGCCTCGAACTCACAAAGATCTGCCTGCCTCTGCCTCCCAAGTGCATAAAAAACATTTTTTTTAATAAAAAACACCTTTAAAAAAAAGTAAGTTGTCATCAGGAATGCTGGCTCACACCTATAATGCCAGCTCTCAAGACAACAAAATTTCAAGGCCAGCCTGAGCTATAGAATAAGAGTCTGTTTCAAAAAGCAAAAAAGTTCTCTCAGAGTAATTTTTTTTTAAAAAATATATTGAACTACATTCAGTCTCTCAACTCCTAACTGGCAACTTAATATTAATAGATACCAGTGGGACAGAAAAACAAAATTAAGGAAAATAAAAAGAGATTATCACATTTCCTTTACCTTGCCTCATTAGCATTAACTGGTGTTCATGTCTAGCTGCTTCCATCTCTGCCTCCAGTTTCTCTTTGGCTTCTCTGATGTTTCTATCAACCTGTTCACGCTGCTGCTTTTCCATTTCATCAAGAGCCTTCCATCGAGATGCATACTCAAATTCAAATGTCCCAGGTTGAGCAAAACGTGGTGGTTGTTCTCTTTCCCTAAATCAACATTAAAAACACACAGAAATGTATGCTAAAGAGATAAATAGAAAACAAAAACTATTACATACTGGACATTTAAGTTTATGACCTCAGCAGGTAGGCACTCTTGATTATCTTATGGCAGTATTATAAAACAGATTCTATACACACCAAATTTAAGAAATTGCCCAAGATTGTCCAGCTAAGTAACAGAACAAGAATTCAAGCTTACAAAACCTAATGCTCAAACTATGACCTATGCACTTATTACTACCTCGAAAGCCTTTCTCATTTTCCTTCAACTACTTCATTAGAATCCAATGTGGGTTGTTTTTTATTTTTTGGTCTTTTTGAGACAGGGTCTCCCTGTAACCCAAGCTGGTAAGGAACTCACTAGAGACCAGGCTGGCCTCAATTTCACAAAGATCCACCTGCTTCTGCCTCTACCTGAGTGCTGAGATTAAAGGCCTGCCTGTGTCGCCAACACTTGGCTTCAGATTTCTGTTAGCAATAAAAAAAATTGTTTTGGGAGGGCATGACAGAAGACACCCTTGACCCCAGCAGAGGGAGAGGCAGGTGGATCTCTGTGAGCTCAAGACCAGCCTGGGATGGTCTACATAGTGACTTGCAGGTCAGATTGGACTATCACATACACAAAAAAACTTTGTCAGGGGCAAGGGAGATGGCTTAGCAGTTAAGAGCACTGGCTGCTTTTGCAGAAGACCAGAGTTGAAATCTCAGCACCCACTGGCAGCTAACAACCATCTGTAACTCCAGTTCTAAGGGAATTTGACAACCTCTTCTGACCTCCACAGGCATTGGACAAAACAGATGCACTTACATACCAAAATTCAACAAAGTCTTCAATCATGCTCGGCTATGATAGTTTCTATTAAAATGTATTAATAGGGGCTGGAGAGATGGCTCAGCGGTTAATAACACTGACTATTCTTGCAAAAGACCCAGGTTCGAATCCCAGCACCCACATGGTAGCTAACAACTGTCCATAATTCCAGTAACAGGATCCGACACCCTCTTCTGACCACCACAGGCACTGCACGACACAGGTGCACTTACCTACGTGCAAGCAATACACACATACACATAAAATAAAAATTATAAAATATTTTTAAAAAGGGGGGGGCTGGAGAGATGGCTCAGCAGTTAAGAACACTGGTTGTTCTTGCAGAAGACCTGGGTTTGAATCCCAGAACCCACATGGCAGCTAACAACTGTCCATAACAGTAACAGGAGATCCGACAGCCACTTCTGAACTCTGTGGGCACTGCACAACATGGGTGCCCTTACCTACATGCAGGCAATACATGCATACAAAAGAGCCCGGCGTGGTGGCACATGCCTTTAATCCCAGCACTTGGGAGGCAGAGGCAGGCGGATCTCTGTGAGTTCAAAACCAGCCTGGTCGACATAGTGAGTTCCAGGACAGCTGGGACTACAGGGAGACCCTGTCTCAAAAAGACCAAAATAAATAAAGCAATAAAAATAAAGAAATAAAATGTATTAATAGTAGCTGGGTGTGGTAGCATATGCCTTAAGTCCCAACACTCAGGAGGCAGAGGCAGAGGCAAGTGGATCTCTGTGAATTCATGGCCAGCCTGGTCTACATAGCAAGTTCCAGACCAGGGAGACCCTGTCTCAAAAAGACAACAACAACCACAAAAGCATTATTAGAGGGGGCTGGAGAGATGGCTTAGTGACCAAAACAACTTCCAGTCTCCTGATTCCAGTTCCAGGGGATCCGAACATCCTCTTCTGACCTTTGCGGGCATTGCATGACCTGGGTGCACTTACATACATCAGGAAATATACTCATACACATAAAAAAAAATTAAGCCAGGAATGGTGGTAGAAGCCTTTAGTCCTAGCACTGAGGCAAAGGCAGGCGGATCTCTGTGAGTTCAAGGCCAGCCTGGTCTACATAGTGAGTTCCAGCTAGGGCTACAGAGAGACCCTGTCTCAAAAAGACCAAAAATTAATTAATTAATTAAAAAGTATTTATGAGGGCTGGAGAAATGACTCAACAGTTAAGAGCACTGGCTGCTCTTGTCCTTTCCAACTTGAGCCCTGTGGAATGGCTCCTGCAAAGAAGGGTGGCAAGAACGGCTGTTTCGCCATCAATGAGGTAGTGACCTGGGAATATACCATCAACATTTATAAGCAAATTAATGGAGTGGGCTTCAAGAAATGTGCCCCTTGGGCACTCAAAGAAATCCGGAAATTCACCATGAAAGAGGTAGGTACTCCAGATGTGTGCATTGATACTAAACTCAACAAAGCTGTCTGGGCCAAAGGACAAAGGAATGTTCCACATTGTATCCGTGTTCATTTTTCCAGAAAACATAATGAGGATGAGGATTTGCCAAACAAGCTATATACCTTGGTAACCTATGTCCCTGTTACTGCATTCAAAAATCTACAGTCACTGTGGATGAGAAATAACTGCTGAGAGTCAAATAAAGTTATAAAACTGCCCCCCCCAAAAGAGCACTGGCTGCTCTAGCAAAGAACCCAGGTTCAAGTCAAAGCACCCAGAGTGGCTGAGAATGGCTGTAACTCCAGTTCATCAGGAATTCAATGCCATGTAGTGACCTCTGCAGGCATTGCACAACATGGGTGCACTTTCCTATATACAGGCACTACACTCTTATGCATGAAATAAAATTTTTTTTAAATTTTAAAGTTTTTTTAAAAGGTGTTTATTAAAAGCTGAGCGTGGTGGCGCATGCCTTTAATCCCAGCACTTGGGAGGCAGAGACAGGCGGATCTCTGTGAGTTCCAGGCCATCTGGGGCTATAGAAAGACCCTGTCTCAAAAAGAACTCCCAAAAAGTGTTTATTAATAGCTCCTAAGTCAGAAAACCCAATTTTCTGTGTATGTCTGAGTGTATGCCACATGTGTGTGGCTGCCCATGAAAGCCTGAAGAGGATATTGGATATCCTGGAACTGGAGTTACAGAAGTTTGTGAGATGCCTGACATGGGTACTGGGAAATAAATTTGGGTCCTCTGCAACAGGCAGCTCTCTTAACCACTGAGTTATCTCTCCATCCCCAAGAATGACTTTTTCAAAAATATTTTCTTTTCTTTTAAATTTATTACGTTTTTTTATATGTGAGCATTTCACCTATAATGTATGTAAGTAGACCACATGCATATAGTGCTAGCAGAGGAAAAAATGGGCTATTGGATCCCCTGGAACTAGACTTACACATGGTTGTTATCCACCATGTTTTGTTGCTGGGAACTGAACCTGGGTCCTCTGTAAGAGCAGTCAGTACTTTTGACCAACAAGCCATCTCTCCAGTCCCCCCTCCCTTTAAAAGAAAAACAAAAACCAAGAGTCTCCCTGTAGTTCCAGTTGGCCTAGAACTCACTGTGTAGACCAGACTGGCCTCTAACTCATACCATGGCATATGCATACATACCCCCATACACTCACACACCAACACACAAAACAAAAAATATTTTTCTTTAAAGTGGAGACATTCCTAAGTTCATGAACATGTTTATATATATATAGCATTCCATATAGACCAGGTCAAGCCAATTTATATTCCAACAATACTTAATAAAAATGTGATATAATACCCAAGGATAATATCTAAAATATCTTGATTAATCAAGTCTTACTTATGGTATTGTTGAGTTTTCTGCATTAGCTTTTCTGGCAGGCCATCTTCATCATCAAACTGCTCCATGGGCTCCACAATGACTGGACGAGGGGTCCTAGAGAATTGTAAAGGCATAATTAAAAATTAATTTAGTGTCTACAATTAGAATCCTAAAGTGCTATAATAAAAATATTTTCTTGGAAAATGTCTTCCCAAGTATAGTGGTACGTAACTTTTAGCCCCAACATCGGGGAGGCAAAAGCAGGTAGGCCTTGGTGACGTCAAGGCCAACCTAGGTCACACACAGTGACACTCTGTCTTAAGAGTCTAATATATATATTTGTAAATAAAATCAATAAATACTGCTAAACACGCACAGATAAATTTCAAAGGCAGAAAAAGATTACATAAATTATTACCAAAAAGCATCATTAACTACCTCAGTCATCTTTTATAAAATGTGATTTAAGGGAGGCAGAGGTAGATAACTCTGTGAGTTCAAGGCCAGCCTGATCTACAGTCAGTTCCAGGCCAGCTGAGGCTACAGGGAGAGCCTGTCTCAAAAAAAATTTATATAAATAATAAATAAATGGAATATATGTAGGGTCAGAAAAGGCAGACATGGTGGCTTACACCTACATTCCAACATTACACAATATGAGGCAGGAGGACTGTGGCCTTAGGTACAAAGTGAGTTACAGGCAAATAACAAAATGGAGGAGTTCAGTGGTAGAGTAGGCAACTATGGCAAATTGAATCCACAGCATACACACACACACACACACACACACACACACACACACACACACACATCACTATCTTAAACCATATTAAATGTCTATGGGCCTCATCATCTCACGTTCTATCACTTCAAGCACCCATATCTGCCTATTTCCCAGTATCCCTGTGTCTATCTGTACTGTTCAGGAAATTCTAGCCAGGTAAACACTTTTAAGCCCAGCACTTGGGAGGCAGGGACAGGCAGATCTCCGTGAGTTGAAGCCAGCCTAGACTCCATAGCAAGTTCTAGGACAGCCAGGTTTACAAAATGAGACCCTGTGTCAAAAATGAAAAAAGAAGAGGGAGGGGAAAAAAGAGAAAAAGAAAACTGCTGACAAGTCCTTCTCCCTTCAAACACCTCACACTCACTCTCCCTTAATAAATCTACATTCACGGGGGGAGGGTGTGTGTGTGTAAAGCAAGCCAGATATAGTAGTACATACCTGTGATTCTACTGTTTGTGAGGTATAGAAAGGAAGATGAGTTCATGGAGCTCAAATTGGGTTATATAAGACTCTGTATCAAAAATGAAAAATGCCCTTTTTCCAGCAGTGACAACGTCCTTAAGAGAACATGCCTCTCACAAAGGATCTCCTTCATCCCTCTCCAGAAGAGAAGAGATACACAAGAAGCAGCACCTGGTATAGAGCCCCAATTCCTACTTCATGGATATAAAATGCCCAGGATGCTATAAAATCACCACGGTCTTTAGCTATGCACAAACGATTGTCTTGTGTGTTGGTTGCTCCACTGTCCTCTGTCAGCCTACAGGCAGAAAAGCACAGCTTACAGGATGTTCCTTCAGGAGGAATCAGCACTAAAAGTACCCTGAATCAAGATGAGTGAGAAACTATCCCAATAAACACATTTTGGATTTAAAAAAAAAAAGAAGAAAAGAAAAATGCTAAAACCTGAGGCCTAAATCAGCCAAGCAAAAGAAAGAGGAAGCAGAAGCCACTCAAGGAACACATTAGAGGTAGAAAAACAAGAGAAAGGAATGGATGCTGACAGATATGACTAGAAACCCTCCTTTTACTACTATGGTTGTAAGTAAAACAGGAAGGAGAGTTCATGGGAAAGGTGAGTGAGAAAAGTAGAATGGATGATATAATATTAAAATGCTTTTGCTATTAGCTTATTACCATGCAAGCAATAGTGAAATCTATTTATATTGCCTTCAGGACAGTGATGCTTCAGAAAAAAACAAGTCAAACTGTTAACACAAGGTATTACCCTAAATTAAAGGGGGGGAAAAAAGATACAAAATGGGCTAGAGATGTTACTTGGTTGGTAGAATACTTGCCAGGCATGCATAAAATCTTGGGTTCAATCACCAGCATTGCATTAAACTAGACATGGTGGTGCCTGTAAACCCAGTACTCAGGAAGTAGAGGCAAAAGGAAACAAAGTTCAAAGTCATCCTTAGCTATATAATGCGTTTAAGGCCAGCTTGGGCAACAAATCCTGAGAGAGAAAAAGAAAGAAAAAGAGAGAGAAGGAAACAATTTCTTAAAAATTATTTCTCAGCTGGGTGTGGTGGCACACGCCTTTAATCCCAGTACTTGGGAGGCAGAGGCAGGCAGATGAGTTGGAGGCCAGCCTGTTCTACATAGTGGGTTCCAGGACAGCTGGAGCTACAGGGAGACCCTGTCTCAAAAAAAAAAAAAAAAATTTCTCAGCCAGGTATGGGTGACACATGCCTTTAAAATCTCAGCACCTGGGAGATAGAGAGGCAGGTGGAGCTCTGTGAATTGGAAGCCAGCCTGGTCTATCTAGTGAGTTCCAGGACAGCTGGAGCTATAGGGAAACCCTGTCTCCAAAAAATTTCTCATCAGGTGTTTTGATTGTTCATACTGTAAATCCAGCACTAGGGAGGCAAGAGAACTGCTGAAAATCCAGGCCAGCCTAAGCTACATAGTAAGTTCCAGATCAGCCTGGGATACAGAGTTCCAGGTTGAGAGGTCAAGATAGAAACATTCACATCCTTTCAATAATATAAAGGCAACTCCAACTGTCATATATTTTAAAAATACACAAGCTTTTCTGTTCTTTTCAGTTCTAGCCCCTGGCCATCTCGAGCTCCGAGTGCCTATCACCACGCCTCGGAAAATTGAAGAAATTAAAGACTTTCTGCTCACAGCCAGGTGAAATGATGCCATATCCCTCAAGATCAAGAAAAACAAGGATAATGTAATTTTCAAAGTCTGCTGTAGCAGATATTTTTTTCTTTTCTTTTTTTTTTTTTTTGGTCTTTTTGAGACGGGGTCTCCCTGTAGCCCGAGCTGTCCTGGAACTCACTATGCAGACCAGGCTGGCCTTGAACTCACAGAGATCCACTTCCCTCTGACTCCCAAGTGCTGGGGCTACAGGTGTGTGCCACCATGCCCGGCTGCAGCAGGTACTTTTACACTCTGATCATCACAGACAAGAAGGCAGAGACAACTGAAGCAGTCTCTGTTCCCTGGTTTGGCAGTGAAGGAGCTGAAATGAACCTGGGCTCCTCATCTGGACTGTATTAAAAATCCTCAAAAGCCCCCCCCCCGCCCCCCCCCAAAATATACTCAAGAAAAATGTACTAAGCAAAATACTTGTCTCTCTAAACATGCCGTAATTATTGAGAAATGACAAGGTTAACTACATGAAGCCAATGAAAAATGTAAACAAAGTTCAGGGGAAAAATACACGCTATTTAATCCCAGCAGTCTGGAGACAGAGGCAAAGGCAGGAGACCTCTGTAAATTTAAGACCAGCCTGGTCCACACAGCAAGTTCCAGGATTGTATAGTGAGACCTTTTCTCCAAAAACAGCAAAGTCATAAAGAGCTAGGCGTGGTAGTGCACACCTTTAGTTGAGGCAGAGGCTGGCAGATCTCTATGAGGAGTGAGTTCCAGGCTACAGGGAGACAGACCATGACTCAAAAAACCAAGAACAGAAAGAATGAATATGAATATGAATATGAATCAATAGATAATTATCAACGTTAGGGGAAAAGGAAGTAGAAACCTTGAGCAATACACACAAATTTACACTGTCTCCATACCTATCCCTTTATATCCTGTTGTTCCTGCAATTCAGCTTCTAAAGAGATACATGAATAAATGAGCAAAGATGAGTCAGTCATAACTCCCTTTATCACATAACATAAAATAATAAGGTATGTGGTATTGAAATATTTGTTTTGATTGCTCTCTGTAGAGATAAAAGCTAAGATGTTAACATTTGTGGTTTCATTGCATCTACCACTCCTTACAGAAGCTCTCTTTGTCCATTTTTTTTTTCTTACTTCATTTTCATCTTTAAGTAGTAACAAAAGTTTTTAAAACCTGGTTTAAATTCTACTAAGAAGCCGGGCGTGGTGGCACAGGCCTTTAATCTCAAAGACAGGCAGATCTCTGTGAGTTCAAGGCCAGCCTGGTCTACACAGCTGAGTTCCTGGTCAGCTGGGACTACAGAGACCCTGCCTCAAAAAGACCAAAAAAAGAATTCTATTAATAGGTACAATTACTAACTTTATTTTACACACAACTGGGAGTATAGAGAGAGACTAAATGGAAAATAAAGGTAAAACAATGTTAATATGGAGTTACAGGGCTTGGGGGATATCTCAAGTCAGTAAAGTGCTTGCTATGCAAACATGCATGAAGACCTGAGTTTGATCCCCGGTATCTACATAAACTGGGGGAATGAGGAACACTTGTAATCCTAGAGCTAGGAAGGAAGGTAGAGAATAGGCAGATACCTCAGGCTCACTGGCCAGTAGACATAGCTGAATCACATCACTATGCCCCAGGTCCCAGTGAGAGTCCAGTCTCAAAAACAAGGTGGCTAACTAACTCCCAAAGAAGGAGCTGAGAGCTGGCCTTCATGCGTGCACACACACACAACCTGGAGCTACTACTGTAAGGTTTTTGCCCCACCCCATCTTTCTACCAAACACATCGTGTATTAGTTAGCAACTTGAAAAATGTTCTATTGTGAAAAAATTAAACACTAAGTTTTGTAAGTCACTCATGGAGCATATGCCTATAATTCCAAGCAGCTTGGGAAAAGGAGCATGAGAAGTTAGCTCAAGAACATCTTAAACTATATACAATATACAGAGTTCAAGGCCAGGCTGGACCACATGAGACTATCTCAAAGCAAAGCAAAACAAAGTAAGTGTTTTAGAATATATTCTAGCGAAGGTTAGATACATAGCTTAATGGTACAACACTTACCCAGACTGTAAGGCACTAAATTGGAGTCACAGAACAAAAATCCCCACTTAAAAAAAACCAACTAGTGAAGTTCCTTGAAATTCTATCATTTGGAGAGGACTGTAACACATTTTAATGA